CATTTTGTTCTGTGTAAGTCATCAAAGACTTAGAATTTGCCACCCTATGCTTTTGATGGTGACATCATCCCACTGATTCACATCTTAATCTCTTCCTGAAATGCTCTCACAGACACACACCCAGAAACGGTTTAATGTAAATTTAGCCATTGCATACCGAATGTTGAGTAATAATGGATCCATTTTGAAAAATTTCATGTCAAGAAAATCTCATTGTCTAGCATTTTAGAATATGATAGATAAATAAGTTGAAAAGAGACATGTGATCAGAACTGGAATTCTTAGTCACCTAATTCTCTTTTTTATATAGCTATAGCTCTTTATCACATCTAGGACTGAGATGCTGAATTCCTTTTGGACTCAATCATATGTCTCAGAAAAGAAATCAAATTTGTTTTCTGAATATATTTTAGTTATATTTGAGCATGCCTACTTATTCAATGGACTGCAATAAATCCATATTTCATGTGCATATGTTATGTCCTTTGTTCTGTAATTGTCATTGTCAACAATAAATGAAGAATGCTGTTTCTACACAAAGAAACCTACATTATTCTATAGGACATAAATCATATCTAAATCAAGTTTAGATTATTGTACAAAAAAAGTTTCAAGCAAGAAAAGTATTTCTGGTTAATAGGGCTTTATGATCATCTAGAAATATCTTAGTCATGGCCTGACTTTTTGTAGTTTAATACAACTTTCTCCTTCTGATCTTATGATTCAATGTTTCCAATGTGTAATGCTGACACAACCAAGGTTCAAAATCTACAATCATTCCTATGCTGAGTGCATAAGGTATAAAATATCATTGACTCCTCTAAGGAGAGAGTTACTTCCTTTTATATTCTCCTTTTATCCTACTGATGATGGAAAGACAAAAGTTAGAGGGAATCAGAGGTCACTATATCTCAGTGACTGGCTTGTTTTTCTTTTGACAAAATTAGAGTAAACTTTAGGATCAAAGCTTTCAGTGGGTAATGGGTCAAAGTGGCATTTCCAAATATCATTTCACTTTTACTGTTTTAGTTGTTGTATTAAGGCTGTAAATTCAGGAAAAAACATACATGCAAATGTGCATAATATTTATCAACTGATACAAACAAATGAAGTTTTCTAACTAAAGTGGTTTGTTGAAGAATACAATTTTTAATTAATTGAAAATGAGAGTAGTTTAGCTGGTAATTATAGTTCTGAGAACCACTCCTTCTAAACCCTTGCAATTCATCTCACATACATCTTGGAGGTCTGTTAAACAAACAAATTTTGATTTGGTGGTTCCTCTAACTTTAGTGCGTATCTTTCCACTTATCCTTTTCATATGTTAATATAATAATGTCCAGAAAATAAGATAGCTGATTGACATGTAAAGCATGGTCCAGAGCGAGATATTAATGAGAAAGATTTGAATGAGGAGTAATTAAAAGTGCAGAACATCAGCAAGTGATATGGCCCAACAGGTACTTAAAAGTTCAGCAGGAAAAGAATTAAGTAGATGTCTAAGAGCTTGGAATAGGCTGGGTGTTGCATGTTGCTTTGCCTCAGACTTGCCCTTAACCTTGCTGTGTATTTTGTCCAACAATGATCTGCAAATGCTTCCACTGGTTTCAGGGCTTCCCTTTGACCATCTGTTAGATTTTAATATAATTTTAGTCCATCTGGTTTTCCTACACTTTTTGTTAAACCTCCAGATTCATAGAACACTATGCCTTGATAGTAAATCCAAATGGTAATAGGTTTTGAAGTTCTATTCATCAATTCTCCTTAAAGTATCCCCAAGACAGTCTGTTTATTTTCCATGCTTGGACCTAGTGCTCAGAATAGCAGGTAAAGATAATGCAATAAAGTCCCTTTGGTAATAGTTAGCATCTTATTTCGCAGCACTATGATCTGCCCATTTTCAACTTAATGTGAAATTCTTAACGAAAGAAGAGATAAAAGTGGAAACTGTGACACCAATAAAAGTCCCATGCTTAGAGGATGTGCTTAATAGTTCTAACATGTATAACATTAAAATTTTATCAACAAATCGTGAAAAGGACATTTTGTACACAGAAATCAATTTACCTAGCTACTATCTGCAAGACTTGTTTGTAATTCATTTTGCCTCAAAGAATACACTGATTTTAAACCTAATTCTATTGCATTTTAGTGTGTGTGGAGAGGAAGAGATGTGAATATTTTTGCTCAACAGATAAGTAAAAGATTTAGAAGATTTCCAAGTGTTACAGACAAAAATAAATACTTTGGTGAAGCAAAATGAAGTTTTGTGGCATCAGCTTCCCTGAGAGTTGTGTCTTTGTTTAAAATTGTTTTTTTGTATAAAGACTGATAGTTTTTTGTGTGTAATGAGCCCATCTATTTATCAAAGGGCAGCAAAAACGCCATGGGCTAAGCCAGGTTTAGAAAGCCACAAACTTTATGAACCTTTAGTTCCATATAAATACAACTGGAGTGCTACCCTCCATCAGGTTCTATCCTGGAAAACATAGGCAAAAAATAATTAATTAATTAATTAATAAGTTAATTAATTAAATAAAAAGAAACTGCACAAGGTTGCAAGTCACATAAACCCCAGGTGGAGTATCCATTATAACTGTTCTTGGCCACTTGATATTGAATTACTACTAAATAGGTTTCACTTTTATTATTCAGAAAATGTGAGTAAATTATTATACACAACACATGGGATTGCTATCAGCTTAAATACTACAGCGTTGAAAGCTCCTAGCATACTGTCCAGGCCATATTCAACATTTTGTAAGTACTAGTTACCTTCTTGATTTTATCCCTTTATGACTGTGCTTTACAGCAGATAAAACTCAGGAGTCCTATAGGTGATGAGATCTAGGCCACTGTCAATTTTTACAGTAATGAGCCAGTCTGGGACTCCACCATTAGAGCAATTTTCTCCCAAAGGGTAGTAACTTCTATCAAGGGATTTAGGATTTCAGTGGAACATAGCACTGGCACGAGATGTGGACCAACCAGCCATCATGGAGCTTCCTCTGCTTTGTTGTGACTTGTTCTGTGACTCCCCACACAGACCTTCAGAGTGGGACAACCTATAGTTTTACCCTTTCATTTTACAGAGAGGATCATCAAAGCTCCGATAGAAAAGCAAGTGGCTGCCTTGCCTACACTGTCACAATAGGGAACTGGAAGATCAGTAATAAGGCTATTGTTTGTTGTGAGCTTTTTATTTATATTCTATCTGCTATAGCATTCAGAGTGAAAAGAAAGTCCCAGTCTTCAGGCAACGTGGGGCTGTGAAAGAAAACCGACATACACATAGTTAGGAGCCTCTGTGAAGTGTACACAGGAAGGCAAATCAGCAGAGCAGGTAGCCTAGGAAATATCCAAGGAAGGCTGTGCAGATGCTACAGCTGCGGAACATGGATAGACACGAGGCTCCTGGGGTTGATGGGCCCCTCCTGCTACCCTAGCGAAGTGACCAACTTCTAGTGTAGAGGTACCCAAGGGATAAGTGATTCAAATACGCATGGAAGGATCAGATTTTAAAATCAAGAAGAAAAGCCAATTTAATTAAAGATGCTGCAGAAGATTCATCTCAATTTGAATTTAGATTATTGTAAAAACAAAACTTTTATTAATTTATATAAAATTTACATAATGGTGTGGCACTGTTGTATTCAACCCAAACGTACATTTGTACAGTACGCTAATACTGGATCTACTAATACATTTAAAGTAGTACTAGATCTTAGGCCAATTGGCTTATTTTTAAATCACATACACACAATTTATATATATGTACATACACACATATTTACGTATATGTGGATGTGTAGACATATACACATACATCTATAAATGCACACACACACAAGCTGTTTTGTAATACATTGGTAATGCATAACAAAAGCTTACACTTCCCAAAGATTTTTGGTCTCTTCTCTTCCTCATAATTCTCATAAAGGAAGCTTTTGGGATATAATGATAGTGTGCAACAGGAATGATAAAAGGAACAAATATTACAAGAAAGAAATTGAAATACAAAAGAAAGTAAAAGAAGAACATCTATTTAAGGGTCATACTAAAAATATTGATGATGGAGTAAGAATCACTGAGCTTGAATTCTAACTTTGCTATTGTCTTAGTTACTTTTCTCATTGGTGAGACAAATTACTGTGCACCAAAAGTTAAAGCAGAAAACCTTTTCAGCTCATAGTTTATTGACATTTCAGCCCATAGTTGGCTGGCTCCAGAAAGGGTAGAATAGCAAAGGGCCATCCCAGAGGAGAAATAGTTCATAGCAGATAGAAAGCAACAAAATAGCAACCAGAAAGTTACAAGAAACCACACCACCCCTCTTTCTGTCCCTTATAATTTACCCGGAGTGCATTCTCTTAGATCAGGTAGCACTTACACCAAGGGAATATCTTCCCATTATCCACTCCCAGATCTATGATAAACTAAGTTAATCACACACCCTTGATCCCAGCATCACATACTCTAAATCCAGTCATCTCTAAAATGTACCACCTATCACCATGTGCAGTTTTAAGGGTCATTTAGACACAAGCTATAACAACCATCAACTAGGTGACCCAGAACAAGTTACTTAAGATTTTGTGCTATTTTTCCTGTAAAAGTGCAATAATACAAGTACCTATATACTTTGCTTTTTATTAAATGAGCTAATTGTATGTACAGTACAAAAAGAAGGATCATGTAAATCAACCTTTTCTCAATAAAGACTGATTATTAGATGTTATTACTTGCGGTGATATGTATTTATGGACTGTGCTTCTTGCTTTCTTAATAAACCCTCTCTAGTCCTAAGCCAGTTATTCTGCTATTGGTTATGTGGAGATATAATGATAGTGTGCAATAGGAATGAAAAAAGGAACAAATATTACAAGAAAGAAATTGAAATACAAAAGAAAGTAAAAGAAGAACATCTATTCATATTTAAATAATAGTCTACACAGACATTAAGAAGATAATCTAATGGATTTCAGAACAAAACCACTTACTGTATATGTTAAGCCTTCCTATGTCTGGTGGTGAGTAATGCATCCGTGTCACCAAGCACAGCAGCATGTAGCAGGCATGCCAAGGGCTGCTCCCGGCTGCACATAGCTCTCCAGAACTCTTGGCCCAGTTCTCCAAGCCTCCCTGCTACCTGGGAGGCAAAAGGGGCTCTCAGTATGGTGGACATTGGCTGCAGTTAGCGTGGGTTTGATATGTGTATGTTCTGTAGCCCCCGATGGGTTATTAATCTTTGAGTACACTGCAGAAATGAGAAAATATCCTAACATCGGTTGGCATGTTCTGACCAGGCTAGAGGGAAAAACATATCAGAAAGCCAACTCAAGATCCCTGGGCTGCTGCCTACTCTATCCCTGCCTGTAAATCTGAAAGCACAACAGGAAAACCCGAAAAAAATGTCTTTTTAATCTCTATTTTTCTTTTACAAATAGCTGGAAATCAGAAAGCACCGGAGGTAAATATTTTTAGCTCTACAGCACCATTTAGTAATATCTGGAAATGGTTGAATTCAGATGCACAACCAAATTTTCTTGTTCTTTCTGCGCTTAATTTTATAAAGGAAACATTTTCTGCATGTTACATCAGTTCCTTCGATATTTTGTAAATTGATATTTTCAAAAGTTTGTTTCATGTAACACAAAATTGTAATCCATGAAGTCTGCATAAGAAAATTCTGTAACTATAGGTTAAACAAAATACATCTGTTTTCTAAAAAGCTTCTGTGACATAATAAAAACTTTACATATTCTTTATTCCTGGTTTCAGGGTCTGTCCCAGACCTTTAAAAACTGAAATTTCTTGAATGAGAGGAGTAGCTTATTTTGCTAAAATGAGTTTTGGATTCCTGTATGTTGGGTCCCCATGACTGATAAGGTTTGTGGAGTTTCTGAATTTGCTGATAGAGTGGAGTTTCAGGGCTGGCACACTTCAAGCGAGCATGGTGGGAACTGTGCACCCCTCTCCCCTGATATTGTTCTGTGCACTTGTGCATCCCTTCCTTTTGTTTGTATGCTTTCCAATAAAACTGTAATTTTCAATGTGGAACCTCCTTAAATGGTATCAGTCATTTTATGAACTCATGCAACCTGAACATGGAGCGTTATGGTAACCTCAAAACCTATAATCTACTGGACAAAACACAGGTAACTTGGCACAACCGATCTTGCATCCTGTATCTCAAATGGAAGCAGTCGTGCAGGACAGAATCCCAGGCTTTAATGTCTGTACTGAGTTTCGGTAGTGTAAGAATTGGACAGAATTATTGAACAACCATTTGGTGTCTGGGAATTTCGTGTTGTTAGACAAGGTATAGCTTCTAGGATTACCATCGTATGTTGAAAATCATTAGTAGAAACAAATTAAATATTTACCAATTACCAGTTTATGCTTAAATTCTGTACTTCAGAATAACATAGACTCTTGTAGTAATTGGTACCCACTTTTAGAAAACATCTTATAAAAAACCTTCATATATTCAACATAGTAGTCTGCACCTAACTTGGGGCTATACACTTATAATTAAATAAATAGAACTAAAACATTTAAATGCTAGTCAGTCAGTATTCTATTTGTCTCAGTACCTTTAGCTCCTGTTGTAGTGGATTGGTAACTGGTGGTCAATTTGTAATACTAGCTGAACTGAATCACCATGATACTGTGTGGATGGCCCACTTGAGGACTTTTGCCAATATGAAAGGGAGAACTGGAGAGAAAGAGATGGTGCTGTTGTGTAGGGAGCCGAGTGACAGGCATTGCTGCCTAGATGTCTCTCTCTCTCTCTTCTATGGGCACTGCGTCTGCCTACATTAACCATAATCCTTTTCTGCTTACGTCACTTATCCGGATGTGATGGTAACCCTGTTGTATTCATCTGTTTAACCTCTTCCTGTCCCAGCTCCCGCCCTTAGCCTATAAAAGGTGTGATTATTTTCTCAATAAACCGGAGGCTTGATTGGGTTACATCAACTTGCCTTTGTCTCTTTTTGTCTCCCCCATGTCTTTTGTTTAATCCCCGTTTCTCCTCCAGGAGTTCCGAACTTGTTGATCTGCAGGCCGGATCACTGTTGGTTCTCCTGTTGCTACTGGTTCTCCTGGAGGAACTTGTTGAGCTTCTTTCATGTTAAGAACTTGGCTGTTCTCATTGTCAGAGGAGCTCAAGATCTTGTCTCTGAGAATGACTGCAGTTCATTTTGGGAGAACTCTGGTCCTTAATTTACTCCTTCCTGGCTCCAGAAGGAAAGATGATGTGCTATTCAGTCTTCAGGAGAAACTTGGCCCTCTGGCTTCTTGATATGTACTCTGCTGTTCTCACTGTTGGAGGATCTTGGAACCTCTTTGTTACTGAGGGTGGCTGTGATACTTTTTGGGGAAGCCCTGGTCCTTCCTTTCAGCATGGCTTTCTGGCTCCAGTGCAGAGCCTTCGATCTATTGGCACAAATTCTTCATCCTGCTGGCATAGACTTTCTAGCTTCCACTGATGACCTGTGGGCCCTTCCAGAGCAGATCTGTAAAACAGACCTGCATGAGACATTGCCATGGACTCTACCTTTCAGCTGAACTCATCCAAGATGTTGCCATGGGATCGAAGCCCTACGCTATATTTTCGGAATCTTTAGTGTGTGGACAGATTTCCTTCATTTATTTATGTTTGACTCTTTGGGTGACTGTTATAAAATAATTCTATACATTATGTTCCCTATAGTATATTGGTATTTTTTGTAAACCCTGACTATAGTACTGTCTTTATTTCTACTTCTAGTTTGATTACCTGATTTAGGTCTTCTTTAGAAAACCAAATTCAAAATTTCTGCTTTGGTAAAAATTGTCCAGCCAGAGGGCCTAGGTTTTAAATAGTTATAAAAGAGTTTTGAGGCCAAATGGGAAGAGACATGAATGATCTTGAAACAAACCCAAGGCCTACATGAAGTCCTATAAATAGAAGCCAATAAAGGACAGCCAATTAGCAGAAAAATAGTAGTTTGGGAAATAAACATGTCCATTTCAAAAAGAAAACTGTTCTTCAGTGCCAAATAATTTTTATTATCCAGAAATTCAGGCACAATGTGGTCATTTTCCTGATTTTTTAAGAGAAGCAAAAGTTTGAATCTTATATGAAATTTCCTGCTTTTCCTTGATTGCAACTAACTTTAGGAGGAAAAATTATGTATATAGGCAATAAAAGAAAAATAAATTTTTCTGAGTTTCATCTGCCATCTGCGGTTTGCAAAGATCTTCTATAATACAGTTTCTGACTATATTAGCCATATATCTATAGCTCCAACCTACTTACACTGAATTACATGCACTTCAATATTTTTTTCTGTCTTTGCCAGGAATTTTGTAATCCCTACTTATATGTTACGAATAATTTTCTCAAGCATCATTTATTGTGAAGTCATTCCTACCAAATTCCAGTTGTGCTTCTATGGTGATCTTTATCACTTCATCTTTTATACCACATTCATACATCAAAATGTTTCTTACACTATCTCATTGAATGTACAGTTTTATATACCAAGCTTCCTCTAGTAGACTATGCAAAAAATATCCCAGGATTCATAGATCATATAATAGGAATATAATTACTTTTCAATGCATAAGTGGATGTACCATAAAGATGGCTATTTTGATTCTAAGTAGTGGCCAGTAAAAGAGCTCACCATCACCTAAATCTGTCACATGTGTCCCTTTATGTATGATGGTCAAATGGAAGAAAAAAATTTGAACCCTCTTCCCCTTTTTGGTTATATAAACTGAAATAAGGTACTTCCTACTTTACATTACTATTAATTATGCTGTTCTTGAATGAAAGTTGCAATAATAGATGCTTTGTAGTATTTTTAGGATTTAAATAACATAAGTAGTCCTTCTAGTATTGTAGCTGCTGCAGAACAGGTTTAATTCTGAATTTCCAGTACATTCACATTCATTTACTTATCACCTGTCCCAGACTATGTTGTTCGTCACTCCACATTTCCAGTGACTTATACTGACTTCCCTGTTACCATTACAGAACTATATCTTCATACACATAGACGCATACATGCTATTCCTTCTGAATATGTATTCCATCCCCTCTCCATTTGTCAAAGTCCTGCTTGTCCTTTCAAGATTGACTTCAAATTTTCTCTCTTCTTCATCACCTGTGGAGAACTAGCTCTTCCCTGCCTTTGGGCTAACATTTAGGACTGCGCCTAACACACACAAGTAGACAATAAATATCAACTAAGAATATTATCATCCTCAGTTAGATTTAGAGTCATTTAAGGGCAGAGAGAATTCCTCATTCCTCTTAAAACCTTATTGCCTTTTGCAATGTGTGGGAAAACATCATGTTTAAAAAATATCTGATGAGTAGATAAGTGGAACCAAATTGAACTTCAGGAATTGAAAGATAAGGTCATGGCTAGTCTTGAACAATGGTGAATTTTCTATTCCTGAGTAATTCTCTAACAGTTAAATCCTATGACGTTTTCCTCCTAACAGCAGAAATAATCCCTTGTGTGTTAGCAAAAGTATTTGTAGTTTTACTCAAAGATAGTATATTTTTATTACAAATAAAGTGTGTACTTTAGTTTATGTACTATGCTAGAATGAAAAAGAAATATGCCTAGAAAATACAGCTCCAATCCTGAATAAATGTGTATCACTTAAGTGAATTATCTTTGTACTTGAATTCACATATCATTCTTTATGCAATCCTATATAACTTCATCTGAGAAACATGAATTGGCGATGAAAGACGTATCACACTCAGTCTTGAAGTCAGCAAGTTAAATTTTTCAGCAACTTTCTTTGCCAACTTATTTATATTGCTTTTCAGGCTCTTGTGTCTTTAGTATTACAATAAATCCACTTTGACTCCACATCCATGTGTCAATAAGAAGTTTATCTTTGATAGAATTCCTTTCACACAATTTCCCACATATTTCTGGATATCACTAAGGAATGTTTACACAGCTAACAATCTGATATATGCATCATAGATCAAGACAAGTAGATGTTTTGCATGTATAGTCGTCTATCCTCAGAAGATACCTGCAATCATGTTTCGTCTAGCTCTCCCCTTCTGTTTATCTCTATCACTTCTCAATATAGCTGGATCCAGACCCTGTGGACATCCTAAGGCAGAGTTAAAACCAGATCATTGAAAACAAGAAAGCTTCACTGAGGATTTGGGAATAACAGTAGGGAATTAAAAGGTACGAAATTAAACCCTCTGTTGATTACTAGATACAACTTGCTAGAGTTTCAAGTCATCGTCTTTTCAGAGTTGTCTCTCACCGCCTC